TCTTTCCATTTTCAAATCAAATGGGATATGTTGCCCCTTAAACCCAATTTTCAATTGAAGTTTTCTCCTTTAAATTTTAATGTATAGTTTGCATTATTATGTGGCCCATTTTGATATATATATATTTCATTTTCAAGAAAAAGTTTATTATATATATTTAAATATAAATATGTTATTTGACATAGAAGAATTATTTGGCAGAGGGTAGTTCAAACTTTAAAGAACGAAAACAAAATACAAATATAGTATTTTTCTATTTCCATACGATCTCTTTATTACTTATTTCAATTGGTTAAGTCATATGTGTTATAATTCTTAAATCTTAAATTAAAAGAAAAATATTGATTGTTGATGCAAGATTATATCGAGCTATCGAAGGTGGGCCACATGGTAATGAAGACGAGCTGACGAGGTGCGACCCAAAATAAGAGAGACTTGCAAAAGAAACAAACACACTGATGTTCAAGTTAGAAAAGGCACAAACTACGATAAACGGTTCTTAGAGCAGAATTGTGTACTTGAATGAAGAGGGAAAATGTCCATTTTATAAACGGTTGGCGAAAGGAGGGGCCAAGGCTGTTGGAACTGTTCCGACCGACAGTTTTGATTGTCGGACCCCAGGTGTATTGTCGAGCCTGAGGTCAGTCTGAGAGAACTTAGATGATTCTCCAGTCAAATTTTGGTTTCAGCTCGATTCTGGGTTCAGGTTGGTCTCTTTCGATAGCTTCGTGGACTATTTTCGACGATACAGAGTTGAATTGTTGGATCTACGTGTCAAATCGTTTTCCCTCCAACATTAATAATTATTAATTCTTTTAACGGTATAATTAGATTCAAGCTACATTTTAAATATTAAAGAAATAAATGGAACCATAAAAACAAAAAATGTTATCTTTCAGATTAAATTCCTAACTTTAAAACTTTAAAAGAATTATAGAATATTTAAAAATGTTTATGTGTATTAAAAATGTTGATATGTTATCTGCATTAAAATGTTGATAACTTTAAAAATGCTATCTGCATTAAAATTCATGTTTTAGTCATTTAAATATTTAAAAATATATATATAACATGGGTATTAAATATCCGTTGATATGTCGACATTTCTACCTACATGTTTATGTGTTCATCAACATGAGAGGTGAATCCAACATTTTATAATATTGCAGAAAAATCGACAAAATATAAAAACATCAACAAAATATCACCAATATAGACATTAATATTAATGATTTATAATTTATTTAGAAAAAATGAAAGGACTATTTGTTAATTTAAATATTTTTTGCGATTTTTTTATTTTTATAACATTTATATGAATATCTATCGACATAGACATTCTATCTATGTTTTTATTGCATTTTCGTGAAATTGTGATCTTGACATTTCCATCAACATCAACATTAAAATTTTTATAATATATACATTATTTGTTTATCAATAAATGTGTCCAATGTTAGTGTTTGAAGTCAGCGGTGGATCCATAAAGTTTGTCGAGGGGGCTTCATACTCATTTTCAAGTAAGTAATTCACAAATTTATAAAATTACAATTTTAAGGTTGACAAGATTATTTTTTTAAATATGCTCGATCTCATATATTACCATTGTAATAACAATTATATCCATCAAAACTAAATGGACATATTTTCTTTTATAGTATCTCTCCATTTATATTCCAAATTAAATTTACAATAAGCTATAATATAAAATAAGAATGATAATAATTATTATGTATAAAAATAGTTGAAACATGACAATTTTATATTCTATTATAAGTTTTTACCAACTATTATATTTAAAATTACTTCGAATAGTCAAATTGATAGTATATATGAAGTAAAATTAATAAAAATGTACATTAAACAATTAATCTCTAAATTGTTGACTTTTTTAGATTTTTCAAAATTAAAACTAAAAATTATATAAAGTAAGAACAATTTAATATAAAAAACGATGATTTAAACAGAAGAAAAAATATTACTGCAATAATTTATAGAAAAAACATTAACAATATACTTCGAATAGTCAAATTGATAGTATATATGAAGTAAAATTAATAAAAATGTACATTAAACAATTAATCTCTAAATTGTTGACTTTTTTAGATTTTTCAAAATTAAAACTAAAAATTATATAAAGTAAGAACAATTTAATATAAAAAAACGATGATTTAAACAGAAGAAAAAATATTACTGCAATAATTTATAGAAAAAACATTAACAATATGTAGCGATAACATTTAAATTGAAAACAAAAATAAAACTTGAAATTATTGGCAACGACAAAAAAATGACAAATGACCTATAAATTGAAATAATTTCTTTTAGTTGTAGAAGAGTAGGTAGTAGCTGCCCAATTTAAAATTAATGTTAAAATGTTTCAACAATTATTTCTCTTTAACCTTAAAAAATGTCTAACAAATCTTTAAACTTTCCATAGTTGTGCAACTTTTAATTTGTTGTCTAATAAATTATTTATTTATATTAGATACTATTAAAATTTAAAATGTCGATGGAGATAGAGATGTCGAGAGCTCACTTTTATGGAGATATCAATAAATTATCGATGATAATAGATATTTGTAGAAAAAATTACAAAGATAAAGAAATTCACAACAAAATTTTTATCAATGTTTTTTTTTGGTAAGACCAATCCCACACAATTTTCAAAATTAAACTTGTAATTTAACATAAATTTTATATTATTTGAACATTAATTTTGGCAAAAAAAGAAAAGCAAATATAAAAGTAGTGGAAATCTTTTGATTGGTTGGTTTGGATGGAAACACCACGTGGACGCAAGACAGAGAATTATAACACGCGCCTTCTGATCGAGTGTACGGATCACCTGCTTCGCAAAAAAGTGCTGCTCATCAGATATTTCTGATCCAACGGTTCTCATTGCATCCTTTATCCATGATTACCCTTGGCCCCACAAAAAACGTGAAGTAATGGCAATCCCAGCTATACTTATTGAATTTATGTGTCAAACATTTTCATGGGGAAGAGAGAATTGCTATAGAATTTAATTAATTGAAATCACCCTCATTTTAGGGGTGTTTCCCTCATTACTTATAGAAAAAGTTGGCTAAGGATATACGATATTTTTTTGGTTGAATAAAAAAATTGGTTCGGACTAACAAGTGTTGGTTGTTAAGATTGTAGAGATAATTAAAGTGCTATATTGGCTAGAAAATGGGTTGATCTATGGTACATAGGTGAGAACAATTATCTCCACTGGTATGAAATTTTTTAGGTGAAATCAAAAGTAAAGCGGGTTATGCCCAAAATAGATAATATCATATTATTGTAAAGATACTTAAGGATATCATTGTCCTTTAACAAGTGGTATTCAGAGTCATGATCTAAACTACGGGGGAAATCCTCGAAGGTCAAACAAGAGTGATTGATGAGTCTTATAGCCATTATGGACTTGTGGATCGGATGAGGCGAGCAAGACGACCAATCATTCGACGTCTCTCTTGATAATAAGACATATCTTTGTTTGAGGGAAAGTGATCAAGATGATCCGTGTAACAAGTACTCTATTTTGAACCTGTTGAATAAGAGTAGACTCTCGCTGGGTCAAGAGTCATAGATCATATGCTCCGAAGGTTATACTTTGTTGGAGTGGAAGATTGTCAAGGTTGGCAAGGAGAGCAAACAAAAATTTTGGCCACTTTTCTTTATTTAGTTAACCTATTCTCTCTTGTATCTCATGCATCATCATGTCAAATCAACACTGGTTAGTTGATTAGCGTATCACATTTAGATAAAAATATTAACAGTTGAGACTTATTAGAATTAAAATATATATATATAAAAAGCTGTTTGAAATTTAAGGACTACATATGACACCATCATGATTTTCGATTAAACATTCAAAAAGCGTTGAGATATTAAAACATATCACTTAAAAAGTCTTGAAAAAACCAAAACACCAAAATAAATAGGAATGTTTAGGAATTAAATATTAATGATCCCATTATAACTTCTAAAACTATTGAAATGATGAAATTGACACAAAGCATGAAATTACAACAGCCGATAAGTACATACTTAACCAAAAAAATAAAAAATAAAAAATAATCCACCTTTAAGAATAATATTTAAGTATTTTTGGATAAGCAATATTTTCTACTTCTCACGTTAAAAAATTGACAGTTATTTATTTATGTAAAAAAAAAGAATAATTTTCTTTCTGTTCTTCTATGCATTCATCTCTTTTACCTGTCAATTTTATTTTTAACAACGATGAGTAGAATGTACCTACTTATCGATAAGTATTAATATTCATGGATTTCATCTCAATGCTAATTTGCAATGAGAGGAAATACCTTTTACGTTGCAACGTGGGATCTTTAACATGTCTCTCAAGATATATCGCGGCTTCTTTAGCTCATCAATCTTGGTCGGATTCTATTTTTGGACTAGATGCTCGTTTGTGCTTATTTGAACTTTGATACCATATCAATATTTTTGGATTTCCATCTCAAAATCAATTGACAATGAGAGGAGGTCTCACTCCCTTTTCGACGTGAGATACTTAGCAACAAGTACCAAAATATTATCCGGTCGGAATTTTACATCATAGGTCTATTGAAATGATTAAGAAAGAAAAAGAAGATACATCATAGAGTTTCTTATTCCCTCTGCCTAACTGTCTATCAATGATTCTTATTATTCAAGTAAAGTTAGTTGGAGTTGGCTTCATTGAGTGAGAAACTGGCCATCTCTCTCCTCTCTCTCTCTCTCTCTCTCTCTCTCTCATCATAAAACCCAAAGAAAAACATATAAATCCCTTAAAAGGTGAAAGGGTAGCAGATCCAAAGTTGTTTTCTTTTGTTGAATATAGAGAGAGAAAGTTGAACAACATTTGATTGAGAGCTATGAAGTTGAGAGAGAAGCATGTGGAGTAAGAGGAGAGAGAGAGAGAGAGAGAAAAAAAGAGTGAAAATCTTCTCTCTCTATTGCCTTCTCTTCTTCCATTTTTGTTGCAGCTAAGCTCTTCAATGAGGTAAAAAACTTTTATATCTTTTTTGTTATAAACTTTGATTTGGGTTCTCTTCGTTAATTGATGCTTCTTCTCTTTTCCCAATCTCAAAATTATTGGATGGGTTGTCACGAATAACCATTTGATGTAGGTTCGAATTTTGTACAGTGACGTCAATGGTAATTGTTGAATACATGTTCAAAATTTTCGTGTTGATTTCCTTCTCAATTTTTTTTCCTTTCCCTCTCGAAAAAATATTTAAAGTGGTTGTCTCAGATAATTATTAGATACAAATTCAAAATTCATTTTATGATTATCGTCGTATATATTAAATAGGGTAAATTTACAAATCACATTCTTCTAGTCTTTGCCAATAATTTCTTCTCCATCCATTTTGGATTTTTTGTTTTTTCTTGTTGTTTCTTGTGTTGTATAGCATGAGGAGAAGCCAAAAAATTTCATAAGAATGGACAAAGTTTAACATCTTAACTTTGCATATATATATATATATATATATATATATATATATATATATATAATATTATATTTTTCACTTCTGCCAAATTAGCAGAAAAGTTTTAAATTATTTTTCATATATTTTTTTGAGTCTCAAGGCAAATTGAGGGGCAATTATTTCATCATTTCTTCATTAATTGCTCGGCCCTTAAAAGAATGAAGATGGTTTTTTCTTTCTTTTTATTTTCGTTTGAAGGCTACTTAAAAAAAAAATATCTAATTTTGATTTGGAAATTTTTAAAAAATTTTAATGTCGTTATATCCTTAAAATTACGTTTGAAGCGAAGATGAAACTCTAAGCTTAGCCAAAAGAAAAAATGTTTAGATGTTGAGAATTCATTATTAAAAATTTCACAGTTTATTATTTAAAAAAGAAATCTATATTTTTGTATTCTCCTCTTATGTTATTAAATATTTAATGGTTGTCAAAGTCTCCCGTACTTTCAAATTTGTAATAATTTAACCTTTGAATTTTAGTGTGTAATAATTGAGTCTCTGCTATGAAAAATCTCATAAAAATTTAGTGTTGATTTTTATCATATACCGGATTCATTATTTGTAATATATAAACACATTTAATCTCTCGTCATTTATTGATTTACATATATAATAAATTTCATTAAATCTTAACAATTTTTTTTTTTTACAATTGAAATGAAATTGTTACGAACTTTAAACTATATGGATTAAATTGTTACCACTTTTAAAGTACAAGGATTAAATGGTTACAAACTAAAGTTTAAGAACTAAATCATTATTTTAATGAAAATATTTTAACCTTTCATTTTAAATATACATAAGTTTAAAATTTTATACGAATAGCATAATATGATTTGAATTCATACCGAAAATCCTATCATATGAGAAGCAAGAAAATCGAACTTATGACATTTTTTAGAAAAAATAAAAAAGCATTTTTAAAATTACGCAGTTCTTTTTTTTTTTTAATTTCCTCTATTTTAAAAAGTTTAGAGTCAAAATTATATTTATTTTTGTCATTTTTGTAATTTTATTCGTCTATCCTATCAATAAAAAATTAATAGGATAAAATTAATTGGTCGAACCAACATAGTTTTTATGTAAAATTTTAGGACTATAACATAATATTTTAAAAGTTTAGAATCTAAAACAGAATGTCTGAAAATAAATAACCAAAATAAAACAAGGAAGAAAGTTCATGGTCTGAAGTAAAATTTAAAAATTAATTTATATTTCTACCCTCATATATATATAGATATAAACTCTCAGTTTTTTCGTTTCCTCTAAATAAACCTATTTAGACCATGAAAATGTTGCTTAATAATAACAATTTTGTTCTTATTTTTCAGTTTTCAAGAATTAAGTTTGTTGCTTGCTCATAATTTCTTTTACTTTTGAAATCTTGCACATGCATTAAATGACAAAATAAAGTTAAAAATTACCTATTTTAGTTTCTAAAGAAGAAAATATAGTATTTAGAATCCTTAAAACATATATATATACATCAATTTTCAATTTTACGTCTAATATTTTAAAAACTTTTGATTTCATTCTTAATACAGAGGATAAATTAAACGTTAGTGAAATAATTAAAAAATTTTAATTTTTTTTTTCTTATTATAACTATTTTAATTGCAGGCCTAAACAGTAATGGTCCATGGGGAAGAAAGGAAGTTGGATTGCTGCTATAAAGAGGGCTTTTACACCCAACTCCAAGGAAAAGCCAGGAAATGTATGTAAATTATCTTTTCTTTGAGGGGTACTTTAGTAATTTCAATATTTCAATCTTTCATTTTTTTTCCTTTATTGACGGTGTTTTGAAAACATAAATCTGAAAGTAAAGGATTCAATAAAGAACATAATTATATTCCATGTTTTCGGTATTTTTCAATATGTATTTGGTGGTAGATTTGGAAATTTAATAATATATTTTTAAACTAGTAGTATAGGTCAGCTAGTATTTTTATTTCAATCTAAATTTTATATGTTATAAATTTTTTATATGTATTGTTTTACAATATTACAAATTTATAATATATTATGTTTTAATTTAAAAAAAAGAAAATGAATTTATAGCATGAAATAATATATTTATCAAAGTTTTTATATTTTTAATGTAATTCTACACTTTCCCATTTCAAATTTAAAATTTGAAATAACTAAAAACATAGAAGTGTTGTTATTAGAATTTTTACTATTTGGATCCTATAATTTAAAGACAGTTTTAAATAAGTAAATCTGTCAAATAAATATTTGCTTAATCTAAAATCAATAAATAAATATTTTCAATCTGAATTGAATACCCATTCTAATCTTTTCTGTGTCCTCATTATTTATGTTGATTTCTCTTAATGTATAGATTTACAAAAATGTAAGAATTAGAATGAAACAAATGAAAATGGAGGATCAAAACATATGTAAGAATGACAAATTATAGATCTTGCTGCAAATTCTACTATATTTATAAAGAAGCAACAAATTTGAACATGGTCCTATATTGTAATACCATAGAAATATTGATTCTTCCTAATCGAGCTGCAAATCAAAACGATAAAAAGAAATTAATTCAAATATACGTTACACAAATTTAGAGTTCGTTATCAAAATCATGTCTCGAGATATCCTTATAACCTTTTTTTTTCCTTTTTAATGTTGTGGGTATAAAAGCTTACTTTTACTGAAATTGCAGCAGGCAGAAAAAATCTTTGACGTATTTTAAAATGTCACCTGTCTTTTAAATTTTCAAATATAGCGAAAATTTTCAATTATATTAGTAGTATATTAGATAGTCATATTAATAGTATATCGGACACTCGTATCAGTATTATATTAGATGTATATCACATACATATTGTAAGTATATCAAATGTATATCACGACATATATGAGTAGTCAGATATTACAGATATATTACTTGTATTACATATATATATATCATTTGGGTAAAGTTATCATTTAAGATTGGAACTTCATATTTTTGATATATTTACAATTGTCTTTAGGGACGACATTTGCAGGAATTTGAGAAAAGAAACAAGAAAGAAAAGAACAAAGGAGGAGTTGGAAAATTAAGGAATGGAGAGTCCAATTCCCTCATTCCCCTCTTTAGGGAGCCAAGTAGTGTTGAGAAGATCTTCTTGGATTTTGAGAGGGAGCAACAAAGAGTAGCATTTAGGCCTTCCTCACCACCAACCCCTCCCTTTGTTACTCCCAGAAATGCTTCTCCAAGGGCTATTTCTCCGAGAACCTCCTCCGCTCGACGACCCTCCTTGCCCATCTCTCCTCCCAGAGCTCTTTCTCCGAGGGTCGTAAACCGCCCTAAGGGGTTTCG